GCTTCAAGAGGTAATTTTCGGATCCGTATTTATTAAGGTTTTAATTTAATTAGATTAAATTATATGTTAATGTTTGCATTATGAGTTTTCGTGAATTGTTACTCGTGATTGTTTGTATGAATTCGTGATTTACTGCGAGCATGCTATGTGATTTATTATTGAATTAATTATACGCATGTTGTACTTTAATTTTTGCTGGAAGCATTAAGGTACGCAATTAATTGCTTAATATGAGTCGAGCATGTGTTTATATGAACTAATCCGTTTCTTTCATATAATTTTTTTGTTTTCCGCTGCGTACATGTGCCCAATTCCCAACAGGCGAATCATCTGAATGAACTTCCTCTCTTTGCCCGATCTATGTAATACAATATTTTGTGTTTATTTTGATCCCCATGGCGAACCGTTTGGTCTTTATAGTTTCGAGATGATCCTCTTTTCGCTTCTTCCTCTAGCAACAATGCAAGAGTTGCTCCAATCCGTGCAACTATATTTTGATTAAGAGTCTTTTTTGTTGGGAATTGGCAAGCAGGAAAGTATGCCTTTTTCTTTCGTATTTAGGTCGCGTCATCGTATGCGTCTATTTGACGTGTTAGGCTTCTAAAGTATTCCAACATGTGCTTTCTCATTTAGGTCACATAGATGTGTGCATTTATTAGATGGGCTAGGCCTCTAAGGTATTTTAATCTTCACATTTAGGTCGCATAACTTTGTACATTTGTTTGCATAATCGTGTGTATTTGTTTGCATTTAGGTTGTATAACGTGTGCGTTTGCATTTATGTCGCGTGTTTTCAATTTTTCGTTTTTTTTCCGGAGCAAGGGCTCTGAGGAATTTCAACCTTAGTGGTTACCTCGCGAACCTGCTATTGTTATTTTCGAGCAAGGGCTCCGAGTTTTTTCAACCTTAGCGTGTATGTCGCAGGGCACTCTGTTTTTGTTGTTTCGGGAGCAAGGGCTCCGACGAATTTCAACTTAGTGGTTACCTCGCGAACTTACTACTGTAATTTCAAGCAAGGGCTCTGAGTTTTTCCAGCCTTAGCATGTAGGTCGCGGGCCTTCTGCTGTTGTTTTCTCAGAGCAAGGGCTCCGAGGAATTTCAACCTTATTAAAAACACATGTTGTATTATACACAAAATAAATAAATAAATAAATAATAGTAATATAATTACCAGAATGAGAATCGGGCACCCACAAACTACGTTCATCCCAGCGCGACTAGCAATACCCAATTGTCGGTACATGTTTGCTAAGCACGCTGCAACCCACAAATATTGGTTGACTCCGTCGATCATTCGTATAATGGCTTCATCATCAAAGATGTTTTGTCTACAAATAAAACCGACCCCAACAGAAACATCAAATATCCTTGCATCTTCTCCTCGTCCGTGGCAGACGGCTTTCTCAAGAGCTCTTTCACCATTGTCCAATTAATTCCCTTGTTTCGAAACATGTTAGTCGTAGTTATCACGCCGAGCCCCAATAGAGATGCAAGACTTTGGGAGCACTCTAATGATTTGGGAACTTCTGCAACTAACGGTCCGTCCACTTGCAATCCCATGATGTAAATGACAATGTGGAGCGTGATCGTCATCTCTCCCCACGATATGTGGAAGCAGTTATCGTATTGGGGGGCCAACAGTGTCGTAAGTGGTAAAACCCTGTTGCCTCCAACCTGCTAACCATCGTGTCATCCTGCGGACAGAGGTAGTTTTTCAGTGCTTTATTTCTCGACTCGATCCGTCCAGTATCACGACGTTCATGAATTAAATTGCATATATTAGATAGAGAAAACACAAATTATAATAATATATAAAACCCGTATTAAAAACAAACTTACATATCCATCACAAACGTATATCGTTATATGCGACTTGAACCAATGCATAACACCAAATTTTCCGGCCTTCCCTCGCACGGACCCTCCAAATACGACGGACCATCCAAAATTGGAAATTTACGCCACGACCACCTTTACGTGCCCGCTCACCACCATCATGATCATCATTGCCGTCATAATTAGCCACCATCTCCTCGTCATCATTAGCCACCATCTCATCGTCATCATCGGACGCATACTGCAACGGAGTACGAACATGACCGACTTGAAGATCATCGGCAATAGTTACAGAAGGCACGGCTCCGACTGCAATAGCTTCTTCTCTCGTTCTCTTCGCTTCTTCTCTTATCGTCGCTTTTCTTCTACGATCGGATGCAAGAACTCCCCAATCTCTAATACGATCTGGATCATCCGGATTTTTCGACTTCCCACCCAAAACTTTCATCAAACTCTTACCTTTTCCCGCAACATGACTCATTAAACGTTTCCCTTTATATCCGACCATCTATAATTTAACATAAAAACTAAATTAATATTTAATTATAAAAAATTAAACAAAATTATAGTTCTCGTGTGAAAACGAGCGAGCAGATTTATTTTTCTTGTGTGCAGGCACGCGAGGACAATAGATTTGCTCGCGTGTTTAAAAAAAATTAAAATAAATAGAGCTCGTGTGATTTTAGGCGAGCTCGATGAAATGAACTCACGTGGTTTGACACGAGCACAACCCCCCTTTCCGCCTAATAAAACACGAGCTCCATTGTTTTTAATTTTTTTCAATCAAAACATGCGTATTTTCAATTGCAAAATAAATAAATAAATAAATAAACAATAAAATATACATTCATTTTTCTCACGTGGTTCTACACGAGTAACTCCACTGTACTCGTGTAGAATCACGCGAGTACTACAAGATGCTTCGTTTAAAAATAAAATTAATAATCGTAATCTACGTAATGAAATAATAAAAAAATGTAAAAATCACCTCCGATCTATTGTCGTCTCGATCGGGATCTCAAATCGAACTCCAAAAGCTTGAGAGCGTTTATGAGAATATTTACCTTTTGATTTTTGAAGAATGGGAAAAAAAATACCTACAAATTTAAACGGTGCCTGCACAAATCATCTCAGTATAAACAAAGAAGATAGATTAGCTAGCTATAAAAGAAAATACTAGTATTAACAAAGACGATAGATTAGCTAGCTATAGAAGAAAATACTATTATACCTTTTAGGGTTAGTAGCTTCAACAAAATGGTATGCCCAAAGAAGAAGAGTCGAAGAGAAGAGGCCAATTCCATCAAAAAAAAAAAAAGGAGAAGAGGCCAACAGAGCTTGATAAAAAAATGCAGTAACTTTGGTAGTTTTTTACTATTTTATTTCTTCTCTTTTATATTTTCATCTTATCTCATAAATTGATGGACATTTCAGTGTAATTAATTTCTAGAAAAATACAGTTTTTATTCCTCAAGTATCCACCAACTTCATATTTGGTTCCCCATGTTCACAAAAAACACATTTAGTTTCTTGTGTTTCAAAACTTCAATATTTTTAGTCATTTCCGTTAATTTTCCGTTAAAACTAACGGAATCAAGCGTGTGCCTATTACAGCCTTAACTGACGAACTAACGGTAAAATGACGAAAATGACCAAATGTATTAAATTATTGAAAAATACGGGATTAAATATATTTTTATATGAACATGGAAGACCAAATGTAGAAATCAGTGCAAACTTGAAGGATGAAAACTGTAATTTTCTCAATTGTTTGATTACAAACTTAAATAACTATTTAGTTAAAGTACTATGTATTTTCTTTTTGTATTGTACTTAAATATATATTCGAAAATTTGGACTAGGGAGATTTGCCTGTCTGTACATAAAATGATAAAACGGTTTGACATGTACAGGCCCTTGAACCCTAGGCAATGGCTTTGTCCAAGGGTTTGCAACTGCACACCCTTAATTTAAAATAAATAAAAAATATAATATTAAGTTTAAACATGATTACTGTTAATCATAAATTTTTCGAGTTTGCAAAATATATACGAGACAAAAAATTGAGAACAAATAAATTTAATAATCAAGCGAAAGTAGATTACAATTTTCGGGAATTCCCCTGATTCTTCTCTCCTATTCTAAAATCAATTCAATGATATAAAAGCTTTTTCTTGAACTGAACAAGTATATATAAACATCTTGAATTTAAGTATGTTATGAATTCATGACGGAGGCTCGAAACGTGAGCTTGAGAGCTTGATATCTATCCATGTGAGTCTGTCTTTTACATGCACTGAAACCCTATTTTTATAGTCCCGAGCTAGGGTTTCTTGACTTGTAGAATGAGTCTGTCGTTTATAAAGCCCAAATATATTATGGACCTTGAATGAGATCCGATTTAATAATCGATTTATTAGATTATTAATTGGTGATTTATCTCAAAATTTCGAAGTCCACATTTACCAAATTAGACTGATTTATATTTCAAGTGGTAGAAGAGGTTGTTAGTGTAGAAGATGTTGGTCGTTTCGAACACCCACTTAATTAAACAAAGGGCCCATTTGATATACACCGCTAATATGGAACTTATATAGGGCTAGGTCCACCCCTAAAATTCTTTCTTTGATATAACCCCCTGGAGAGGTAAAAGTACCATTGGGCCCTTATGTTCAATTTCCACCCAACTGCATTCAGCACTTTCGCCCCTACATTCAGCATAATGTTGAACTGCATTTAGCATTTTAGGCCTTCATTTATCATTTTTATAGATTATTTTAATAAAAATATAAATTCTTATTTTATTATTATTTTTTATATATATTGTATTTTGTATTTTTTTATTTTTTTTATTTTTTTTTTATTTTTAATTTTTTTAAGTTTTTTAATTTTTTTAATTTTTTTAATTTTTTAATTTTTTTAATTTTTTTAATTTTTTAATTTTTAATTTTTTAATTTTTTTAATTTTTTTTGGATAATTTACTGTACTGAATTGACTATATATGACTACAGTATACCACAGTCATGTATAGTTATATGTAATCATGTACTGTCTTGTTACCCCAAAATTAATCTACACCAACAACAAAATTCACAATTTAATCTTGATATTATAAATCAACTAACGTAAAAAAAAATGAAAAAAACACAATCACATGCATATAATCTTTAAAACATGAACACGCATTACTATACATTAAAAAACACATAACATACATATAAATATATATTACTACACGTGACTATAGTTATATACAATTATATATAGTTATATAAGTGGCATAAGTCTGGAGTACTGTAGCATGATCCAACTTCACAAAGGCACTTCATCGAATTTTATTCTCTGCATGTCATAAAATTATAATAAAAGCAAAACCTGCGACAAAAAAATACGAGTTAAATAGCAAAATGGAACATGCGAGTTAGGTTACATGAAAAATACAAAAAAACATGATTTTTTTTGTTGATAAATTTATTGAACTAAAATCGACTACAAATGACTATAGTATACTACTAGTCCTATATATAGTCATGTATAGTTACATGTAGTCATGACTATACATGACTACATGTGACTGACTATATGTGACTGTATATGACTAAATATAACTTTATATTCACCTGACTCAAATCACCCATGTAAGTAACCACTACTGGTTAAATTCCTATTACAGACAAACAAAGCTCTCACACATTAGGTATTTCAAATCATTTTCAAATAAATACAAAAAAAAAAATTACATATATATGATTTATAATAAAAAAATCAAATTACATGAAAAATACAAAAAAACATGATTTTTTTTGTTGATAAATTTACTGAACTAAAATCGACTACAAATAACTATATTATACTACAAGTCCTATATATAGTCATGTATAGTTACATGTAGTCATGACTATACATGACTACATGTGACTGACTATATATGACTAAATATAACTGTATATTCATCTGACTCAAATTACCCATGTAAGTAACCACTACTGGTTAAATTTTCATTACAGACAAACAAAGCTCTCACACTTTAGGCATTTCGAATCATCTTCAAATAAATACAAAAAATAAATTACATATGATTTATAATAAAAAAATCAAATTAATCCAAAGAAAAATATTTTAATATTAATTGTTCACAGATCTTCAAAAACATAGTAGATCTGGTTTTTTTTAAAATAAATACAGTAAGTATATACAAATCAAACACCACCAATTCCAGATCTGAAATTCACCATTAGATCTGACACAAATTAAAATTTTCGAATTCAGTTGGTTTCATAAAAAAATAGCAAATTTCCACTATTTAAATCAACAATCTCTAAACACATAGATATAAACCACATTAATTAAAGCCTAAAACAAAACAATTGAATTCCAAGAACAGAACAAATAGATATATAAAAATGTGTGTGTATATATATATGAAGGAGGAGAAAAAGGTAGGGCTGAGTACGGTGAAAAGGTGCGGTGCAAGATGGTGGCGGAGCAGCGACGGGTGGCGGTGGGGGGCAGCAGCTGGCGGCGGAAGGCGATGGGGGGGGGGGGGGGTGCGGCAGTGGCGGCGGAAGGCGGAGGGGGGAAGCAGCTGGTGGCGGAAGGCGATGGAGAGCAGCGGCGAAAGGCGATGGGGGGGCAGCAGCCGACGACGGAAGGCAGTGGGGAGCAGCGGCGGAAGACGGTGGGGGAGCGGATAGATCTGGCGAGAGAGGAGGACATAGAGAGAGAGAAACAAAGAGAGAGAGAGAAAGAGAGGGGGAGAGATGTATCATTTGGTGGGTCACGTGAGATGAAGATAGGGTATTTATTTAATTGAACTAAAATGGTAAAATTGATATTTTAATTTGTCTAGGGGGGTCTATCAAATTAAGATTAAAATTTGGGTTTTTGACTAGGAAAAAAAAATCTATAGGACCTATCCATATATATTTTAAAAACTAGGGGTGTATCCCTCATTTCCCCTTAAACAAATTTCAAAATTTTATTTTCCAAATTTCCAACAGCATACACAACAAGGGTCACAAGACTCACAACTCACAAGTGGTATTTTTTCATATTTTAAAAAATATAAGGGTTACCAACCCTCATTAGGAGAGTTGGTACCTAGCCTTACCAATAGGGTAAAAGGTCTAGGGTTCGAGTCCCCCTCCCCCTACTTCCCCTTGTAATGACTCGAATTATTCAAAAAAAAAAAAAAAAAAATATAAGGGTTAGATTGAAAAGTGCAACTTAAATTCATTTACCACTCTTTAAATTTTTAGTCCATAATTTTTATTCAAGTATAATTTTTTTTATATATCCATATATATTCAATTTCGAACTCCTTTAAATAAATTCGTGAATTCGCTACTCGATACAAGATTTATGTATCTATTCAACAATTTCATAGTAAAGAATAAGAGAGAGAGAACTCCACAAATTATATGAGAGATTATGAGTAAGAAAATAATGGCCCTAATTTTTTTTTTACCTGTGTGATGAAATTTCTTACAGGAATGGCCCACAAAAGTGGTCCATAAGTATTGTCCACTTTTAATTAATACTAAACATATACCTCTTTCCTAATTAGTCTTCATAAACTATAAAAAGGGATTTGTACTTTAATCAAAAGTTTATGCTTCAAATCAAAGACTTTGTACCTCCAATACAGGCTTTATCCCCCTAATGACAGTGAAGAAAAGGCTATTTTATATTGTTCATTACACTTGAATTTACTATTTCACCCTCAAGCATACCGTTGTGAGATTTATTTTTTTCCTTTTTAATAGAACACTTCCTAATTAAAAGTTTGTTTGAGAAAGATTTCTTTACGGGTAAAATTCGTTTTGCATTCCTGTACTATACGAAATGTATTATTTACTCTCTAATTTTAAGAAAATATCAAACACCCCCTACCGTTACAGATTCTATTAGTCAAACCCTTTTAACCGACTGTTGCAAAGAAGAGTTGGTTTTTTTTTGTTTGTTGACGAAAATACCCTGAAAAAATCTCTAGGCTTAGTTTTGGCCATTTTCATTAAAAAATTTACTCTTTTCAGCCTTTTTTTTAATTACTTTATTCAGTAATTTTTCACTCTTTTCAAAACTTTTTTTTTCCATTTCTGCATAAAAAATTGAAAAATCGAATCAATAAAAATGAAGTCAAATTATGAATGCAAAAACTCTAAAAAGAAAAATTGAAAATCCCTAAAACCTAAAATTAAATTGAAACCCTAATTTGAAAGAGTTGCAAATTAAAAACAAAACTTTTCATATTATAATCGCAAATCTCCAAAAAAAGAAAACTGAAAACCCATAAAATCAAACGCTAAAATCGACAAAAAAACCCTAATTTCAATGAACGCTAAAAATAGTCATCAGTCCTAGAAAGTGAAACAACCTAGACAAAAATTAGGGGATTCTATCAAACATAATGTGGGATAAAAGAGTCATTGCACAATCAAATTTAACACCGTTAAGAGTTTGACCATTGACCCTGAAAAATAGGGGGCATTTGATGTTTTCTATTCATCAGGAGGGCAAATGATATCTTTCGCATAGTACATAGGTGCGAAATGAATTTTACCTTTCTTTTACTGATATTTTGTTTGCATCTAAATTTTATTGTCACGGATGATTTCTTAACATAATTTTCCGAAAGACCAAAAAACAAAAAAAAAACAATTTTTGTGCATTTCGTGTATATTAACCCGAAATGCCTTTTGCAAATTCAGGTAAATGTACCTGAAACTGTTCAATTAATTATTTTTAAAATATCATAATTTGGATAAATTTACTTAAATTTTAGAAATATAAATACTTCTAAACCGAATACAAAGTACACAAACACTGCAACACGATAAAGTATATAAATGTAATTTTAGAAATATAAACAAGTAAGTATATTTGCTCGATCACGATTTTAGGTTCATAATCTTATTGAAAGTGTTTTTCATAATTGTTTGGAAAAAAAATCAATAAAATGTTATACTTGATTATAGTAATATGTGCTTATTTCAACATTATATAGATTTCGAATTTAGAAAAAAAAATTAGTACGTGTAAGAATGAAAAATAATGAATTAATATTATAAATGGGTACTTGAAATGTTAATAATCACTTCACCCAAAATTTCAAACTCGAAATTTCATTGTGGCATGATTTTGATACAATGTTGAATGACTACATGAACTATGTGAAGACTGCGGGTACGTTCATAATACAAACTAGGGAACACTTTTTTTCTTAAATTTGGTTAAGTACTTACATAGTTAAACGAAACTCGAATATCGGGATAATTAAAAAAAAAAAAAAAAAAAAAAAAAAAAAAAGGAAAAGAAAAAAAAACAACTAAAATTTGAAATTCATGGCAATTGAAACGACGTCATTTGAATTGCAAATGCAGCAAATTTGTCAAATTCAGGTCATGTTGACACGTTTTTGTGCGTACATTTACACTTTTTCAACTTCCATTTTATTATTTGGTCATGTCAAAAGCTATACTAATTTTTTATTTTTTATTTTTAAATTGGTCTCATAAAATGAATTATAATTAATAGATATAAAAGAAGTTCGAATTTTGACACAGAAAAAATCAGTCCTACTAGGATAAAACTATAGCCTGAGATATAAGGGTACCATCACAAATATGTTTATTTATCATCAAATTTTATTTTAGGCTGCAACATAAAATATATGTTTATATACAAATAAACATCTATAAATTACTACAATCAGAATAAATAAAATTCTATTAATTTAGCAAAATATTAAATTATCGAACTAATAATTTAGTACTCCATCCGTCCCATTTTATATATAGTTTTAGGTTGTTGAACACATTAAGAAAATCAATAAATGTGCATTTGTTATAGTAAAAAAGTAGAAAATTACTAAAATAACCTTCTAATTAGTTATTTTTCAATTAATTAATTAAGAGTGATAAAAAAATAAAATTTAAAATAGTGCAATTAATGCTCAATTGGATTGTAAAGTAACAAATAATTTGCGATAAAAAACTCTTCAAAGAGACAAATAATACAGGATAGAAGAAGTAGGTTTTTACCGAGTCAAAATAAGAAGAAACTATTATTTAATCAAAATTATTAATTCGCTACTTTGAGTCTCGATAATCTCAGTAATTATTATTCATGGTTTATGATACATTATCAAAACTTTAAATTTCGAGATCTTGGAGTAATTACTCAATTGCAATGTACCAAATGGCAAAATCTACAATCATAATTTTACCCATTTATGTTGGTATTATGCTCATTTTTTTTTTTTTTTTTTTTTTTTTTTTTGAAAGAAGAGAAAATTTTATTAGGCCATATTGGCCAAATCATACGGAAGCGTAAATCCTTCAAGTGTCTCAATACATTGAAGATGAGCAAGAGCGTGAGCTAAAGAATTGCCCGAACGCTTAACAAACGAGAAAGAAAAACTCGTGAAAACATTTGCTAAATAAATGCATTCATCGATGATTGCGCCGAATGGTAACATGTCACCTCCACCCGCTCGAAGTGCCTGAATCACCTGCAAAGAATCACCCTCGAAAATAACTTCGTTCCATCCGTTCATAGATGCTAGCATGATGGCATGTAGAGCAGCCATAGCTTCACCTTCAACGGGATTAAGATTTCCATCAATTAGTACCACTTTCCATCCAACGCATATTCTTTCATGGTTCCGTGCCACCGCTGCAACCGCCAACTTTGGTTCTCCACGTCGTATAGCGACATCAAAGTTGATCTTCAACACCCCCATCTCCGGTGGCTTCCACTCCGTCGGGTGAATTAGTTGAAGACTAGGATTAGGCCTGATTTGATTGGATTTGAAGTTTACCAGATAATGGCTACACCAACTAGGCAGTTCGTCGGCACCTATCACCTCCTCATTGTGAATCTCTCTGTTACGGCTCTCCCACGCCTTCCATGCGATCACCATGGCCCATAAAAAAATGTTCTCATCTAGCGAGTGTTTCATATGGAGCCACCATTGCCACGGGGATGAAAATGCCGCACTTGGGTTGATGCCAAAAGGTGAGTTTTCCCAAACCTTGTTCATTCCTTTACATGTAGCGATAACATGTAACGTTGATTCGTTACTAGCTCCACAACGACGACAAGCAGGTGAGGTAATAATCCGGCGACGATGCAGCTCCTCATTGGTTGGTAGATTATTTCCACAAAATCGCCACAAAAAAATCTGAATTTTAGGTGGTATAGGCAACCGCCAAATGCATTTCCATTCACGATTATTTGTTCCACTAATTGAACCATTATTTCCGATACCCATAGGACTAGATAAATTATGATTATTAAGAATCATGTGATAGGCAGATCTCACCGTGAAGTTACCTTTCGGCGAGTGGTGCCACACCCAAGAATCATTTGTGTGAGGTCCGCCTAATGGAACCCCCAAGATCCTATCCACGTCCACTTCCCAAAATATGTTATGCACAAGTTGTAAATTCCACGAATTAGAGTCTGATTCCAACAAGTCCGAAACTCGGTCTGGGAAAGCTGAGGATATCGGTCTAACGGTAATAATTTTGAAATTTCCGCCATCTCTGAGCCATGGGTCAGCCCATATAGATGTGTTTGCCCCGTTTCCTATCCGGCGTCGTAGCCCAGCTTGGAGATAAGGAATGGTTTTCCAGATACACCTCCACGTCGTTGACGGTCGGTAGCCAGCTCCAGCCATTAGAAGATTTCCGTGAGGGAAGTACCTGGCAGCCATAATCCGTGACATAAGCAGGTCCGGGAAGACTAAAATACGCCACGCTTGTTTCATGATCATTGCCGTGTTAAAAGCTCGTAAATCCCTAAACCCGAGACCACCTTGTTCTTTCGATTTGCATAAATCCTTCCACGAAACCCATGCCATGCCTTTACTGTCTCCCTTACCCCACCAAAAGCGTCGAATGACTCGCTCGATTTCCGAAATAAGTCCGTTGGGGAGAAAGAAACAGCTCATGATATAAGCTGGAATAGCTTGTAGAACTGATTTAATTAGCACTTCCTTGCCGGCTTGTGATAACTGCTTTTCACCCCAACCCTTTACACGAGTCCAGACCCGATCGCGCAGATATGAGAAGATCTTTTTTTTAGTCCGACCAATTAATGCAGGCATCCCCATATATCTATCATGGCCGTCGACTACCCGAAATTGAAGGATTTGTTGAATAGCTTCTCGTCGATCTAAAGGTGTCGCCGGACAAAAACACATTGTTGATTTGTCGATATTTATTTCCTGCCCCGATACTCGTGCATATTTTGTGAGGATCGTTCTGAGAGTTGTAGCACACTCCTCAGTTGCTTTGCCAAATATGAACGTGTCGTCTGCAAAACATAAACTGGAAATCGTAGGAGCACTAGGAGCAACCTGAACCCCATGAAAGTCTCCCCTTTCCGTTGCTCTTGTAATCATTGCAGTCAATGCCTCTGCACAACAAATGAAGAGGTAGGGGGAGAGAGGATCCCCTTGTCGTAATCCTCGGGTTGGGCGAACCGAGCCAAACTGTGAGCCATTAAATAAAAATGAAAATGAGACCGAAGAAACACAAAGCATGATAAGTTCCACAAACTGAGGCGGTAATCCAAAACGAAGCAAAATCTTTTTAAGAAAACCCCATTCGATACGATCATAAGCCTTACTTATGTCCAATTTAAGAGCCATATAATTATTATTTTTATTAGAGTTAAGCTTGATAAAATGATTAATTTCATAGGCTACCAGGATATTGTCGGAGATTAGGCGTTTCGGGACAAAAGCAGATTGGGTACGAGATATTAGATCGTTGAGAATAAGTTTAAAACGATTTGCAATGACTTTGGCTCCAAATTTGTATATAACGTTACACAGGCTAATTGGTCTATAGTCTGTGATTCTTTCCGGACTTTTTACCTTTGGGATTAGGACAATATATGTAGAGTTCAAATCCGAGGGGAGTTTATGATGGTTAAGAAATTCAAGAACACATGAAAGGACATCAGACCCCAGAATATGCCAAAATTTAGTAAAAAAGATAACGGGGAGGCCATCGGGGCCTGGGGATTTGAGAGGAGCCATTTGAGAAATGGCTCGAGTTACCTCCTCCGCGGTGAAAGGCATAGAAAGCAAGTGACCGGCCGCACTAGATATCTTGTTCTCCACGTTCGTCAATACCTCTTCTATCTCATCCTCGTTTGGCTCGGTAGAAGTGAAGAGCTGATTAAAATAATCAGATATAATCTGCTCAATCTCATGATGGGATTCCTTCCATTCCCCGTCCGCTCCTTTAAGTCGTTCCATTCTATTAATTCTGTGACGCGATGTAGCCTTAGCATGGAAGAATTTAGTATTCCGATCCCCTTCTTGGATCCATTGAATCTTGCTGCGCTGCCTCCAATACAGATTATTATCCTCATATGCTCTTTCCAGTTCCAATTTCAAAACCCGAATCTGCTCCTTTGTTATTTCCGATTGTGTGATTCCCCGAAGATAATGGATCCGCCAGTTGAGTTGATTGATCCGTTTCCGCGGAGCCTGGACCGTGGCCTTGTTCCAATGAATAAGAGCGAGACGAAGACCTTTTTTCTTCTGCACAACATCTTCAATTGGGTCCGAGATCCCTTGGTTTTGCCAGTTTTGTTGAACAATCTCCTCACAATCGTCTCGACGTAGCCATATAGCCTCAAACCGAAATGGTCGTTTCTTTCTTCGTTCAGAATCTGCCTGAGCGGGGTCAAGGACGAGTTGAAGCGGGACGTGATCAGACCCTGAGTACGCCATATGATGTACCAAAGCTCTAGGGAACTTTAGTAACCAATCAGCACTAGCACATACTCTGTCGAGTCGACATCTGACCGTATATGGGTGGTCCCGGTTGTTCGACCAGGTAAAACGAGGTCCTTCAAATTCCAGATCCGTCAAACCACAATCATCAAGTGCTTCGCGAAAGGCCTCTATTTGTGCCGGGAGCCGGGAGAGACCACCCTCTTTTTCGTTGTTGCTAAGAATTTCATTGTAGTCGCCGCCGACAACCCACGGCAAGTTACGATGGTTCCTAAGTTGGCGGAGAATAGCCCACGATTCATGCCGACGAGAAATCTCAGGGAATCCATAGAACCCGGTCACTCGCCATTTGCTATTGTGGTTCTTGTCAAGAACCTCCGCATCAATATGGTTGTTCGAGTAACTAATGAGATCAACCTCCACTTCTTTTTGCCAAAATAATATTAAGCCTCCAGAATTCCCCACCTTATCTATTCCAAACCCGTTCAAATTCCAACGTCTTTTCAATTTTTCAAGAAGAGGACGTGTTCCTTTCGTTTCCGAAAGGAACACAAGCAGGGGCCTGCAATCCCGGAGAATGTCTCCGAGAACGTGAATTGTCAAGGGTGCCCCGAGCCCTTGACAATTCCAGAATATGCAACTCATTGACTCCGGCGGGACTGCCTAGCAGTCTCCGCCGTTGAACTCATATCCTCGTCATTAAGGCAAAGAAGTTGTCGTTTCCCCACATTTTCTCTATCCTGTAATTCCACATCTGCTGCCTTTTTCTTTTTTCGATGATTATTAGGAACTGTCACCACTTTCCGGGCGAACGTATGCTTCCCCATCACCTGGAAACTAATCGGGTTGTTGACCAGACTTCCGTCATCACCGATGATATTTGGGTTTTGGTCTGCCAGGGGAGAGTGTTCAACTAAAGATGGGAGATTTTCCTTTTGAACGCCAAAATTGAAGATATTAGCCCCTCTTTGTTGAGCACGAGAGGTTGATTCCTTATTGTGCTCTGAATTCTTTACCCGAGGTTGCAGTGGGTTTCTAGGGTTTTTATCTCCGAGAGTGATAGCAGCACGTAGCCATATGCCATATGGCAGGTTTTCCCCCGGATCCACAAAAGTCTCTTGATAGCGGATAGGGCAGCGGTTCTCCGCGTGGCCAACGACACCACACAAAAAGCAGAAGTTGGGAAGTTTTTCGTACGTGAATGTGATCCATTCCTTTGAACCATTCGATAGATGAACATTCATGCCGCGCTTCAGTGCGTTTGTCACATTGATTTCCACCTTGATTCGCACATACGGGTAGATATCAGCTTGTTTGGGATTGAGAAATTCCTTAAAATTGCCTAGCTTCTGCCCAATGAGAGTCAACGTGCCTAGGGTTCTCTGGAAAGTAGGGAGATGATGAACCCGGACCACAATTTGCATCATGTTGATTGTCATCGATGTAGGGTCAATTATGGCATCCAGATCTGTGAGGAGTACTGCGTTCTTGTCCATGAGCCATGGGCATCCTGATTTTGCGTGCTTATAGTCCAATTGATGCTCAAAGATAAGGAGGAATTTATTCTGTCCAAGCGATTTAAATTCCCATGGTTTCACCGGTTGGAGTAGTCGGAGAAGATTAGCCTTGATCGTGTGCGCCGAAATTTCACGTGTGGTAGCAATACGTCCAACCAATTGGTGACCGCAAATCGATTCCCTTGGGATTTCTGGGTCCACCATAATTGATATCCCCTCTTCTTCATCTGCTGTTAGTGCGAGGCCATTCGCCAAGTTCTCGGATAGGCCTTCCATGGTTGCTGGTGATGAGACGAGGTGAGATAGATGAAGCAGTGAACGTGGAGAGCAGATCTGAATGCCGTCAATCTGCGAAGGGACGAGAGAGGAAGGGTTTTCACTGAATTAGATTAGGAGAATTAGGTTAAGGGAAAACATATGGGAATGAAACGAACCAAAAAGAAAAACTAAAACCCTAATAAAATAAAATATACGACAAGATTAATTAGACAAAGTAAATTTTATGATCGAATCGTCTGGAGAATCAGAAAAAGATCTCGATCTAGAGGATTTGCCGGAGCCCTCAAATCATCTAGTAGCTACTCCGTGTGGTGGTGTAAACGCCTCTCAGTTGGAGAGAAAAACCTGCCTCTCAGTTAGAGAGAAAAACCTTAATCATTTGAAGCCTAAAGTGTATTTTAAGTTCTATTCAACCTTACTGAAAAAACAAAAAAGTAAAATAATAGTGTGGGTATACTATAAAAGATATAAGGGTATTTAATGTTAATAGGATTAACCGGTTACCAACCTAATTAATTTTAAATGGTGGAACCACTAACGAAGTTCTAACAGAAATCATTTTCAAAACGGTGAAGACGAATACTAAAGAACTAAAGTTTACAAACATCTAATGGATTGTATTTTCTTGCTGCACTAGATACAAATATACAATACAAAACTGATAGTTGATGCAACATAATTTTCGTGATAATTTAAAGTGTTGAATTTACTTTGCACCCTTGTAACATTTACCCACTTCAAATTGGGATGACAATGGGTGGGTATAGAGCGGGTATTGCAAACTGCATCTCCGTCCCGCTACAGAAATCCTCATCCCCATCTCCATCAAATCCTTGAACTTTACAAAAATAATCCCATATCCGCTCCATAAAATCCTCACGGGTACTGGGGCGGGTAAAATTCCCCATCTATTTTTTTTAATAAATAAATATGCAATCTACTTATAATTTAAAGGCTTATTTCTAGGGTTGTTCATGGGTCGGGTCGGTTGAATATCGGCCGATTATCGGCCCGACCCGACCAACCGACTATTGCCAAAATGTAAAACCATTACCGACCCGACAATTGTGAGTCGGGTAACGGTTGGCAATCGACTTTGTCGGTTGCCGAAATAGTTCGGTTGCAAATTATCAGCCGATATCGGCCACAGTAAAAAAAAAAAAAAAAAAACAGATTTGCTGCTAGATTTAGAGGCCGATGTGCCGGTGAACTTCGGTATTGTACAATTTAAAATATTCTAATTATTAGAAATTTAGAAATTAATTACACACACATCACAGAACGGTTTTATCTATCCTACACCCGGTGAAGGTTACACCGGGTGATTTTTTACCGTTGATCTACACACACCAATGTGGGTGTGTGTGTGTTTGTGTGTATATTAATGGTAAAGATCTACCCGGTGTATTTCACCCGGTGTAGGATCTCAAAAGCCGAACGGTTTTATCACAGAGTTAAAAAAATGGAAAGTCTGTACATTGAGATTATTTTTTTTTTTACAATTGTGTCTTTCTCTCTTACACACACAAGAACACACACAAGTTAATGAATATCAATTTCATTTTCGTTTCACACAATTAGTATGGAGAAACATAAAATCTAAGCAATAATCATTCGTGTTTAAAAAAAATCAAATTAAATCATTCAAATGAGGAATTGCCCAATTTTAATTTGAGAAAAAAACGAAAAAAAAACCCTAGCCTTGAGTTTTTGCCCTTTAGAATGTAGAATGTAAAAGATAAATAGAGAGGGCCAGAGGTGGAGAGTTGGAGGAAGTAGCAACCCACCGGCGCAGGCGGCGATGACTGGTTGTGGCTTGCAAGAGAAATGTCGGCGGTGGTGTACTGGTGTTTATGTGGTGGAGTTTTGGTTTCTACTTCTGGATGCAGAGTTAGAGAGGAGATGAATAATTTAAAATTAGTATTTTAATATTTCCCAATAATTTAGTGAAGTCAAAGTCAAAACTCAAAAGGTTACAAAAAATATATTATATATAAAAATGAAAAGTCGGTTGGTCGGGTAATATCGGCCAACCGACTTTTCCATAAATTAAAAACTATACCCGACCCAACTAAACATGGGTCGGTTAAAATTATCGGCCCGACCAAAATGAGTCGGTTGGTGGGCAATTATCGGCCACAATAGTCGGGCCGATAATGGGTCGGTTGCCGGGTAAAACCGACCCATGAACAACCCTACTTATTTCTATTGTGAATTCTTGGAGGTTATGGATGACCACCATTACACTCTCCATTAAACCTATTTACCTCCACCATTATTCATCATTAAGGTCTTGTAACTCATGACCTTTGACTACCTTTTCTACACCTATAAATTAGGTGCAATGCATTGTATTTTGTACACTTGAAGATATGGAATAACATATTACATTTTCTCCCTACTTTATTCTCTATTTCTTGTATATTGTTTATTAGTTTCTCAACACGTTATCAGCACGATTGTTCTACTTTAAGTTTCGAGTAAAGATGATCCAAGGAAGATAATTTCTTATCCATAGAAGATGGAAAGGGGATTGTTTTAAATATTTTATTCTTTTTTTGGATTGATAAAATATTAATCATCTTAGTTTTGTTGTAGGTGATTTTTCGAGCAATTCACCAGTTTGTACTTCGATGTCTATTTTGGACCTGATAATGTCCGAATTTCAGAAAATGCAAAATACGAAACTTGTAGCATTTTCTGTTGGCTTTTCGGAATATTTTGAATCATCGAAATCGGATCTCGATCGAGGGAGATATGCTTAAAATACTCAGCTCTGCCAGTGCTGTCCCTTGTACGAATTTTTTGAGATGAACATGACGTTCTAAAAACAAAAGGGACGATTATAGGCCTGAGCCTAGTTTAAATACGAGATTAGAAATCTCGATTGAATATAAGTCTAAATGATAAGACTCTTGAGCATTTGAGTTAATGGGTATTCCCCATTTATAGTACGATTCTTTCATGATCAAAGTACTATAACAATTTTTATTATATATTGAGGCTTGAGGCCCAAATCGAGCACGTGCAATCAAGTGACTCGAAGAGTTGAGTAATATATTAAAAACAAAATCCACTTGGTCTCTAATTTATGTGACTTGAAAAGCTCCATCAATCGAAAAAGACAAGTTCATAAATTTTAGGCTCGAAGCCTAGTTTAAATATGAAAGCTTAAAAGCTTATATGGAGGAATATTAAATATAAAGGTTTGAAGACTAGATATCTCGATTGAATATATTAGACTCAAAGTCTAAGTGATGATACTCAAAATTGAATATTTTGTGTAAATGGGAATTTCTCACTCAAGGTACTATTATTTTATGATTAAGTACCAATTATAGGGCTTAAGACCCCAAATCAAGTACATAAATTCAAGGTACAAAACTCAATCCTTGAGATTTGAATGGTATATATGTACTCAAAATGAGTATTCATTTGTGGTACAATGATATCAAAAATATCATGTAGTTTAAAATTATCTTTGATAGTTTAAGAATGAACATAACTATAAAATTTGGATCATTGAAGTTAAAGATCCATTTATGTCTCATGATATCACAAAATATTTGTGTTACTGCTATGTGCCTTGAGGGCACAAGCCAAATATTTCTGTGTTTAGAAGACACCGAGCAAAATATTATTGTTTCATTTTCAAGAAACGAGTACTTAATTGGGGGTATGTGTCTTGAACACAGAAGTAAAAGTAACATTACATCTAGTCACTTATGAAGAAGAAGAGAGATAGTTATTTGATCATCTCTATAATTTGCTCTCTTTAAATCTTGACTTTGTTGTTTTAAAAACAAGTAAAATATTTCGATATACGTGTCTTAAAGATACATATAATGG